TCAGTTCTTGTTGAGTGAGACGTAAGTCGCCCTTCTGTGATAGTTTGACAAGGTAGTCAGCCTTTCTTCCAGTCAGTCAGTAGGCACCTCTCCTTCCTTCATTACAAACCTTTTGCATTAATCGCGTCAGCATATCTGTAGCAGTCTCTGGGTCCGTTTTCAGTATTCGAGGGGGGGAATTCCGTCTGGTCCTTCTGACTTCAGTAGCTTGATTGCATTCAGAATTTCTGCTTTTGTTGGAGGATTAGTGTCCACTGGCAGGCAGTTCTGTGCATGCTGGTGGTGGTGATGGTGTTATTTCTGGACGAGTTGTAGGTGATGGTCGATTTAAGAGTCCTTTGAAGTGATCAGCCCATCCATTGTTCTATTTGTTTCTCCTCCTTGGGAACTAGGTTCCCTTGAACATCTTCTATTGGTTTCATCATCCGTGTTGATGCCTTCCCGTACATCGAGCAAGCTGGTTATCTGATATAATGTCCTGAGGTGTCTTTTGCCTGCGGCTTGTGGTCTGTTCTGCTTCAGTTGCCAGCCAGTGTGTCGTCGAATTATCTTTTGTCTTTCCTAGCACTCTTCTTTACTGCTTTATTCAGTGAGACGTACAATGAACTTAGCTTCTCCTTCTGTTGTCCATGTTTGTACTGAACAGTCACCTTCTCTTTCACCATCCTCCTCTCCTCTCTTCTGTTAGCTTCTAGGTAGGTGTCCGTTGAGAGCCATTCGTTGTCGTGTCTCTTCTTTCTTCCTATTACAGTTGCACACGTTTCCTTGAAAATCACCTTTAGAGAGTTAGTTCCAATGTTCTTCCAAGCAGGTTTCCCCACTGATACCACGTAGTGTCTCCGACTTTGCTCTGATCTCACCTTTAGTGAAGGCATTCTTTGTAGTTTTGTCATGCCGTTTTTTTCTGAATGTTGAACTTGAATTACAGTTGTCTGTCTCCATTTGTTTTCAGGGATTTCAGCTCCACCTTGAAGATTCCTTGAACCAGATGACGGTCTGAGCCCATATCTGCTTCCCTTCTCGATTTCGTGTCCAGCAGACTGGCTGCGTCTCCACTTCCTTGAGCATTGTTGAGATGAAGTCTATCTGGTTTGTGTTGTGTCAGTCAGGTGAAATCAATGTTGCTTTGTGTATATCCTTGTGCTTGTACACGCTGCCTCCCATCACCAAATCATTGAAAGCCCAGAAGTCTGCGAATAGTTCTCCGTTCTCATTCATTTCATCGAAAGAGAGCCTCTCGACCCATGATGAGTTCTCTTCCCGTATTATCTGCTCCCAGTTCGGCTGGCATTCATATCGCCCATGAGGATTTTGATGTTACCTTTCGGGATGTTATCCATTAATGTTTGTTGTCTGTAAAGTCTTCCTTCTTCTCTTGTTCCGCGTTGTTTGTAGCACTGTGCGTAACACTGCATGATAATTTTAACCTTCTTTCCTTCCTTTTGAGTTGGATGTTGTCATAATCCTGGATGAGGAGATTGGTTCCCACTGCATTTGGATTTTGAGTGTCACTGGTGACATCACGATAGCCACTTACTGCTTCAGTGTGTTCGTGGTTGTCGTCTAGGTGACCAGGTCGGAGTCGATTACTGACTCTCGAGTTGAACAATTTCCACATCCATTCTATCTGCTCTTGCAGATACCCAGCACTTCTAGGCGATATCTTCGCATTTCGTTGGCTACCTGGGCAGCCTTCCCAGCCAGTCTCGTACATTGTACGGACATTCCACGTTCCTATTATTATTCTTGCTTTCATCGAAAGAAAGAAGACCCATCAGTTGACTGACTGGCTTTCCGAAGGCTTTCAGCAGCCCGCTGTGTCATTTCGCCTCTCCAATTCGATAGCTATTTGAAGTTTTCGTATTTTTAGTATATTTTTTGTGCGTTGAAGTTTCTCTAGCAGTTTGATAGCTTTTGTTGTGTAGGGTCGCTAGCCCCACGCCCAACCCTCCCTCTCTACCCGGGCTTGGGACCGGCTCGAAAACTAGCAAGCTAGTTAACTAGGCGAGGTTATGAATATGTATAAAACTGTGTTATTGTTGACTAGTTTAACTATCTTACTGTATTTACGATAGGGAGCGGCTAAAACCAGCTCAAACAAGAATATAGCAGCTAAAATAGAGTTAAACAGCATTAGGTCTCAGCAGGATTTTCATTGATATACGATTGGACAACTTATCTTTCGGAGGTAAATAATATTTATTAGTAATGAACTTTTGTATAATAGAATCCCATTGTTCTTATCAGTACTGACCAATCTATCTTCTGATTTTATTTTCGTTGGCTAAGTGGGGAGAGCGAAATGATTAGTAATCAAGTTGCCTATCACTTTTCAGTATCGAACCGACAAATCAGTAGAATTATCACATCATCACCGACATAACAGTAATAATAAGCACTACTACTACCTTCTTAGCTTACGAAATTCTTATTGTTTTGATGTTTTTTATCAAAGGAATAGTTCTGTTCCTGCTTGAGAACTATTAAGGATTAAAAGAGAGGAAATACGCTGGTTAAGGAGAGTGTCACCCAATAATCATGACATGTTTTGTTGTAAATTACAGTTTTTAAAATATTTATTCGGGTGATGTAATAATGTCAATAATAGTAGTAATGTAACGGTAGAAGACAAGAGACCTGGTAAAGAAATGTTTATTTGGAATACGGTAACTCTATATAGCGAAATTATGTACACCATATCTGCAAATCGTCATTTGCAGAGATCTCCCATGTTGTGCTACTTATGTCCTTCGTATTGTGTTTCGTTGTCTTCTTTTCGTGTTTCCCATGTTTTACTGCAATGCTGAATCATTTGTTCTCTTTGAAGTCGATTCTATCTCTCCGCTATTTGATATTTTTGCGCCAATGAACGTCTCTTTATATACTACTGATAAATCGTATCAGTAGCACATGCCGCAGTAATAAATAGAGTACATAAAAATCTAGCAAGGTAATAATAAGTTCCATCTGGCAAAGTACTTTAGATAAGCCATACATGCGTGGCGTAGTAGAACCAGATGTGCGAGGTTGTTTGTGTAGTTCCGTACTAATAATGGATACATCTTTTTTTTTAGTCATTAGACAGTATCAGCGAAGGTTTACTAAAATAGTTCGATTTGTTCAGTAGGATAATTCCAGAACTTTTATCTATTCGTGTCATGATCAAGTTTTCATTTGGTAGAGCTAAAAAATCTGAAAAAGGTACTAAATGAGTAATCAGACACTGTCAGTTAACTGTCGATTATCACTTTGTTTTCTTTAATATACTCAGAGAATTAAGATATATGCATTCCAATATTGATATAAGTATAAAACTTGGGCACTGTGGTAGAGTATAACTCCATTATGGATAAGATTTTATTTTGATAAATCACACAGTGTTATATTTACTGATGACGTTTCAAGCACAAACTATTGCTCATAATCATATCAAGTTACTCACACAACTTTTTTCCTTCATTTATAGACATTTGTGGAATCGATTAGATATTGGGATAAAAATCAATATAGGATAATGTACATTCAGAAATAATAATATGAGTGTTATTGATCAATTACAATCAGATAGGAAATAAGACGAGTGTTTTTATAGTCATAATAAGTAACTTGCTAGAGTGTTGTGATGTGCTTGAATTGAAATAGAATTTTAAGATTATTTATTATCCTCCTCTGATTTGACTGGCGGTAATAATATCTTCCATATTTCTGGTATTTGCATTGAGTCATTTCTGTTGCATGTGTTGGGTGTAGACTCAATGAACAAGGATTCAGTAATCTCTCCACCTACCTAGATTACTTTTTAGAATTTTAACCCTCTCCCACCCTATTGTGTGGTTGTGAGTTATTGCATGCAGTGCAATTGCTGAGCTTTTTTCTAAATTACTTATCTTCTCGGGGTCAACCATTCTTACCTTAGCTAAATTCTTATGTTCCGACAATCTGACTACCCCCGACCTACTAGTCTGACCTATGTAGTTGACCTAACTCACAGTCATTGCAAGGTATTCTGTAAATTATATTATTTTTTCCAATTATTAAACTTTAAAAAATGACATTGAACAATGTAAAAAGAAGTATATGAAGAAAGAAAGTTCAGCGCTACCACAAATCACATTAAGCTGACCAATTAAAATTACTTTCCCTGTTTCAGAAACTCAACCATAACATCAATATCACGGACATTGAATATTTATGTAATATAACTTTAGAAACATCCGAGGATATTAGTCGGATTTTGTTGGAGTAATTCTGTTAAAAAAAAAAACTGTGGCTTACAGAGCGAAAAGTTCAGAAAAATCTTATTTTAATTTTCTAAACACACTGGGATTATTTTCACTAATCTTTTAATGATAATTCAGGGATATGCACATATAATAATATTTTTTTAAATCGGTCAAAATATTTGTGCGTTCCCTCTTGAATTCAAAGTGTTCCTCCTAATAGGTAGAAATTCATATGAGGTAAGTGTCATAACTAACCCAAAAGGTTAGTTCCTAAGAATCTAACATTACATTCAATGCAATAGGTTTCCAGTTCGATTCCTGGAGGCGCACCAACACATGGATGGATAGTGAAGATGTAGTTAATTAGTCCGAACTAGGATGAAACTGGTAACGTGCATTATTCCCTTTTATTAATATGCATTAAGTGTGAACTAATTTTATTTATATAGTGTTATACCTATGCACAATCGATGCTTGACTTCATATTTCCTATTGGTTTAACAAGTAACCAAAAAGAAAGCAGTTCTATAGATGTTTACAAATACTGTTCAATACTTCTTACATATTATTTCGTATGTACATGAAGAATAAACGATTTTTTTTAAAATATCCTACTTAAAGAAAATGATTCCTTATCACTCCTATTGAAGTATCAGTAGTTATCTTAATTATGATAGGTTGATTTTTACCTGTAAGGTCATCTCTCTTCACTCTGATTGGTTTATAATTTGTGTCATAAGAGAAAAATAGTTAATATCAAGTTAGTTAATGAATATTGGCACATTTCAAATCTTTGTAAACAGAAACATCTGTGTATTTCGTGGTCGCGTGCGTGTGTACATATCACATCAATAACATCTTCGTTTTAAAATCTTTCGTGAAGGAAGCGATATCTGTGATTAAGAATGAATAAAGTAGGTAAGCTGTAAAGAAATTTATTAATAATTATAAATTTTTTGTTGATAAAGTATATTCTTAAACAAATTATGAATGTCATATATTAATAACCATATTTTTATATAAAATATAATGAATTGTAGTAAAAACTTGCATAAAATATAAGGAAGTAGAAGTATTTAAGAAATGTACTTGTCAGTCAATCAACCCACCAGTCAATCTTAATTTGTACAAAGAAATTAAGTCTCAGCTGATACCTTCCAGTATTCCATTCATTATGGGGTTGATACAGTTCAGGAATTTCATTCTTTTAGTAAATACCATTTTAAAAGTTGTTATTACATAAATTAATTCGATCTCATTGGTTAAATGATCTTAGCTAGGCTTAATTTGATAGGTTAATGAGTGAATTTGAGTAGTAAGTGGTAAGATTCGAACCAGAGACCTTGTTTTTTATTATAAGAATACCACTTCAGTAATTCTTCTTGTTTTAGTGAAGTGACAATAAGGGGGATTTGTTTAATCAGACAGAGGATCTTATGATCAACGCTTACTTATTGATTATATCATCAGAATAAGCATCCTGGATAACAGTGATTAATTTATGATTTGAGTATAGAATGAATCTAGTTACTAGCTATCTCTAATTGTAATTTTACATTGGGATCTAAAGTTTTGTTAAATGGTGTTGTTCTCATTAGTGAAGAAGAATTGTGTCTCGATGTGAGAATGAACACTAATTGGTACTTTTAATTACAAAAGATTTATCTCTAGGCCAGATAACTTTATTTGTACTTTGTTGATAAAGAAGGTGTATCAGAGACTGGAAGACATCACACTGGTAACCTTAAGTCGTTTAAAATGCTTGCGGAGTCGATAGTTCTCTGGGAGTATTTCACAAATTAATAATATGAAAGTAAATGATATCTCATCGCTCAACAGTGTACAACCTATGACCCTATAGAACACCATGTTTAACAAAGACGATACTACCATTCAGGTACTGGAGCGGAATCCTGTAGCATATACTTTTCAGCTACTGTTAATCTGTAATACAACGTTACCATCATCCAGGGTTATAGATTAGTAACTCTCAACATTTCCAGTTTCTTTGACCCGATATGGACATTGGAACTGTGAAGGATCGATGTCGAGAAGAAGTTTGCAATAAATGCATCATGTAGCCATTTAAACATTCTCCTGATATGTCTGGAAGAATAATAGAACAGTTACAATTACGATGCAGTATACCTAAAAAGCAACAGTTGGAGTAAATTTACCAAGTTTGTGAGATTCTGGAGAAAATAATGTTATTTAACATTACACTGAAAGGTTAATTAATACACAGAAGGTGTAATCTCATTATTTCTCTAATATGTACAACTCAGAAGTGCGACGTTTATATCTACTCAGTGAATGACTTTCAAACAGTCGTTTAACTTTTACTGTAATAATAATAATTATAATAACACCTTAGATTATCGTACTTTATGATACGGTTGAAAAAATAGAGAAGAGTTCCAGTTGTGTTACCACTATGTATTCACTATTACTAATTACCTTTGAGAATTTCACATTTGCTCAAAGATGTAAGATAGTACGGCTTAGTCATATGATTTTGAACAGTGTTGTCAAGTTATTTTCTGGTCATAGTTAAAAATTTTTTGTCGATGCATCGACCGATAGCTGCTACCATGACGTGATACTCAGGGCTGCTCATCACAATAACCTATCGAGCCATGCTAACTGGAATGAATATTCCTGAATCTCCTAGTATCCCAGAATGGTTTGTCAGATAACGGTTAGACATTCAGCGAAGATACTCTTTTCGGCGAATTCATTCACATAGCTGTACAATCGCATTTATATATAAATATTTGTGTGTGTGTGTGTGTACATGAGGTTTGTCAAGTTTAGATAATTGATTAGTTAATACAAGAATGATGTAGTACTTACATCTATACTACATCATTCTTGTATTAACTAATCAATTATCTAAACTTGACAAACCTCATGTACACACACACACACACACACAAATATTTATATATAAATGCGATTGTACAGCTATGTGAATGAATTCGCCGAAAAGAGTCTCTTCGCTGAATGTCTTCTCTTTTTCATATGACTCAATGGGGATTTTCAATCTACAGATAACGGTTAGATCAAAAACAGTTACCATCATCGAAAAAGTCGCTCATTCCATAGTGGAAGCCTGCTGACAGAAATGTATACAATAATAGTAGGGCACATCTCTGGGCAACCAGTGAGCTAGCTATGCTGTCTTCCCGTTATGTGGAGAGGTTAAAAAAGTCCTCCCCAAGAAGTTTATACCTTGACACGCCATATGGTGGATTGTATTTGGTACCAAAGTCAAATGTATGAATGAAACCACTCAAACTTCACTTTCAAAGAGACCATGTCTGATGGGCTTCAAGCAATTATCCCTTGAGTTCTGGGGTTTCGAAAAAAGTCTTCCTCTTTTAAATACTCGAAGAGGAAAACAACCTCTAGTGTGTAGACACTCGGTGATAGCAATAGCTCATAAAATGGATAGTTATTCGGCTGAATAGATCCGTAAAAATAAGGAAAGATTGTGATACTCGTAGATATGTTTTGTGATCTCCTATATGCACCAACTGACCACAGTTCGGGGAAAGGAAAAGATAGGTTTTATCAAAAGCAATCAAGTTTGCTGTTAAAAGTAAATTCCTCACACATTCATCTTAGCAGATGATTTAAATGTTTAAGTAGGGAAACTGAACCGGCCGAAAAGCATATTGGAGGTATCTTTCCTGTCCCAAGCCGACAAATGAACAGTGGTGATCATATCTTACCATTTTGTTCCGATAAAAATCTATTCCTAGTCAGCACTAATTTCAAATATATGTAGAGGAGGCGTTTCCTAACTTCTGACTGCCGACATAAACTTAAAGTTAGACACCAATCAACCATTTTGCTATAAGTTATCAATGAAGAGTATCGATGAAGGATTGTCATTCTTTCTGAAATATCTACATGGAATTTAATTATATATGTACGCAGCCGAACGGAAGCATCCACCAAGCAGCTACGAAGTCATTGCCTGTTCACTGTTTTATGAGAACATGAGGTGTATACTTGGGGAGGAAATACGCGAATATTTGTTCCATTATGACATGATGTGCGTCGGTGGCACAGTGGTTAGGACTCTCGCCTACCATGCACATGGTCTGGGGTTCGATACCCTGCCGACGTACACGATATCTATGGTCGGCCTACAAAATTTGGGCTACCGATATCCATGCTGAAAATCCATACTTGTACTGAAAATACGGTGTGGCATCAAGCTGTAATCAAAATTTTAAAAAAATAAAAATACTGATCCTGGAGAAGCCTGGTACTATAATCAGTCTGCAGCAAAAGTAGTAGTGAATACAGCTAATAATTTGCAGCCAAAGGTTAGATGCTTACGGGTGGTGGTAATGAATTATTGGTTAGACTGACTAAGAAATCATCTGGTTTATGGGAGTCCAACACAGTTCAGTTATACTGGTGTAGGTTACAAAAAGTAAGCATATTTGCCAATGATAATAACAGAGCCATCTACGTCATATGTCAGGGAGATCTGCCTGACTAGAACAGTAACTAAGATCCTCGGATCTTCAGTTAAACGAAGACAAAATGGGAAACAGGAGTTTGTGAGTCTACACCGTGACGCATTGATAAAGTCTTTACCCTTCGATAGGCTCTGGGACGCAGGCACACCTACCGACATATGACACTTTGTATATCTGTTGATCTGAGGGAGGTATTTGACTCTGTCGGCCAAAAAGTATTTAGCTCTGAAAGGAATGTTCCAAAGTTATAATGAGCAGATCAAGGTACTCAACTTGAACTCACGTGACTGTATAAGAGCTTGTGAAGAGTTATAGCCTGAGTTTATTACAATTAATACTTTTTATGAGTGATACCTAATGTTATCGATTAAAGGATCTGACTGTAGTTGATGTCAGTGTCCAGGAAATTAGCCTTCTTGATTTGGAGTATGGAAATGATATGTTCTTTTTATGTAAAAATTTTGACAAAATAAGGAGTCTTCTGGGCATCCTGAGCGAAAATTCACGTAATTTCACTATGCGATTTACTCGCGTCAGGTGCTGCTATAGGACTAGTCTTTATCGGCATCTAGTTTAGGGATAGGAGGCAAAACAGTCAAATGTGTTGGACAATTCATCTATTTGCGAAGTTGTGTGAGCGATAGTGATTTTGCCAGGATGACTCAAATAAACTAGGATTAGCATTGCAGATAACTGAATAACTCTAAGTGACTTAAATTGATGTTAGGTCGTTGGAAAAGCCGAATAGTATCCCAAATGGCTCAGTGATAACGTCACTGATCATAGAACCTCGGGTGGGATATCAGTTTGTTCTGAGGTTGCATATACGCCTTGCTGACCACTGCCAATAAGAACGAAGTCTACATCCGAGATTACTTCCTGCCAGTCTCAAGCAGTTATTTGAAATCTTCACTAATATACGACTTACACATAAGCTTTATGATGAAAAATGTCTCTATTGAAAATTCCACTATCAAGACATTTGAAGAAAAGATTGAAATTTAGCCTTGCAATAAATTGTATACGTGAGTCAAGGTGGTATACATATGAATGTTTAAAAAAAATAGTGTTTTGTATTGAGACTGTGAGTAATTTTAATAATATTTTTAACCAGTTGTTTATTATTTTGTCATTATTATTCGTCCTTTGGGTTCCGGGTGGAACACAGGGCTTCGGTAACACACCATTATTTCGTTCTGTCCTCCGACATCGCTTTCAGCTGGTTCCATGATTGACTATAAGCTTTCATTTCCACCTCGCACGATCTTTTCCATGTCACCTGCACATCCACGCCCAACACGTCGTTTGTCATTTGAGTTTCACTCGAAAGCCTGCTTAGCACATGATGTCATTCAGTGGTCTTATTAGCGTATATCATTTCATTTCCTTTGGCATATTTGTTAGGTAATAGGATGTTGGTTAGTTCGTTACCTGTCAGAGTTCCTTGTTGCTGGTTCTTTTTTACTTGTCACTTGCTCTTCAGTGCTCATCAAGGACATCTGTTAAAGAAAGTCTACAGCAGGCTGTTAGAAATGCTTTTGGTTGAACTCTAACCATGTCTGTAAACCTTACAGAAGTACTCACTGACTTGATATTAGTGTTGAGAATTCGGCTCTCCTTCCTTTTTTATTGGTTGTATACCATTTTTACGCGTAATATGCATTTTATAGCTATTAAACTTGTTTAATTTGTAATATTATTATTATTATTTTTATTATTATTATTATTATTATTATTATTTGTAGCACAATTCATGAAGTCATTACCTGGCCTAATACTTATATTAACACTAGTAACCTTATTGGGTGCATTGTTATTTCAAAAGATTGAAGGTCCATATGAAACTCATTCCAGGACACATGTATCTAAGGTAAGCATTATTTTAAAGTTTATAACAAAGCAAATCGTTTATTACAATCTATTGTTTCAGAGGTATGCCAATTGTCCATAACTTTTTTATTACTCACTAACTAGATGAACGATTCCAACTTTCTTTTCGTTTAGTTTATATATATGTATATAGCGCAACCGCCAACCAGTGTCATATGCTAGTGACTGATCTCTCAGCTGACTTGGTGGATCCCGCTGGATCGGGTACCAGTGTCTGAATGGTCTACGAGTTCTCCTTGTGACTGGAAGGTCCTGGATTCGAACCCCGGAGGTGGATGGGTACTGATGAAGAGCCGCAAGCTAAAACGAAACATCTGTCCAGTACTCCCATGTTTTCCAATGGTTCTCTAACTGATCAAACCTGTGATTTCAAAATAAGGCATTATAACCTCTTAGTACTAATTTTTTCTATTGATTTTAGTTTCGTTTTTAAACCATTCAGCTTTGGAATCTACTATCCTAAATTCTTTAGATGATAAGAAACTTAACTAGCAGTACGTATTTCTTGAAATATTTTTTCTTTCTCTTATTTGGAGATAAAACAACACATTGAAAGGTTATTTGTATTTTATGTTCATCTAAATGCTCTATTTATTGGCCATCAACACATATATTTTGTGGTGAACTGATTTGAAGTTACTGATTGGTCAACTACCGACGACAAGGTCATCAGGCAGAAAACTAAGCTTTGATTGGTGAAATGTCACCATAACTATTACTTTTGCACAATAAAGCTTATAACTAAACAATTTATCACTTTAGACCTTGTTTCCAATCCTTGTTGTATACTGTTAATCAGTACAATCATTGAAGAGTTCAAGGTTTTTGAACAGATTTTTATTCCTCTGCTTTTATTTCATAATATCTGTTATTCTAGTGTGAATATATCACAGTCGAAATTATTTTGGTGGACATAAAAATGTCTTAATGCTTTCTATTCATGATGCTCTTTATGAAAATCTGAAAATTGTGTTGTAACATTATTAATGTGCTGAATGAAAACTTTGTATTCAAACACAGTAGTCTAGTGGATAAAAGAGTTGTAGTACGCAACCCTTATGTTCAGGATGTTCAATTGTGGAATACTCACTAGTCAAGCAAAAGGTTCAGGTTCGATTTCCGACCAGCACACTGCTAAACCTCATCTAGCCGGTATTAAACCAAGAAAAGAGGGAAGGTCGGGCATGAAGTCAGCTGCCACATCCCGTAAAAACAACACCACCGCTACTGTAACTTTGAAGCTTGAAGCCTTTTGTTCCATTTGGAATGAAGTGAATGGAAAGAATGTTCAGAATGCGAACTTTTAACGACTGTAGGTATTACGTTTCGTAAGTTGACTTATTATTATTTCCCTGAGTTTTGAGTGGAACAGAGGGCTTCAACAGCACATCTCCACTCTCTCTCTATTTTCTGCTGTCCTCCTCAACTGGGTCCACGACTGATCATAATCTCTCATCTCCTCCTCGCCACATGATCTCCTCCATGTCATCCTCACACTGACGACCCACCCATCGCTTCCCATTGGGATTCCAATTGAGCCATGGCCTGACGCGCGATATCATTCCACGGTTTCCCCAATGTATGCCCAATCCATCTCCATTTTCTCCTACATATTTGTTGAGCAATGGGCTCTTGGTTGGTTTGTTCCACTGAAGAGTTTCTTGTTGCTAATTGTTTCTCGTCAGTCGGCTGGCCATCTGATCTTGAGTATGGAGTCAGCCAGTGAAGGTGGCATCTGTTGGTGAAAGTCTGCAATGGCCTGTTGGAAATCCTTTTCGTGACTCACGTGCAGTGCAAGTTTCTGACTCTAATGAGGAACTGACTGATTGACTTCACATTTGTGTTGAAAATCCGAATGTCGTTCTTTATGCTGGCTGAGTTAGTGCAGAAGATTTCCACACTGGTTTCAGGTTGATGTGGGTGTATCTTGCCTTTCCGAATCTGGCCTACTTTGACATCGTCATCTGTTCCACCGGTGATTGAAACAATGCTCCCTAGCCAGATAAATGAAGGAAGTAACCTCTGAAAAATCACTGTCGTTGATGGTGATTGGTACTGGTTGTTTTTGTAGGTGTTGGTGTTGGTTAGTCATCTTCATCACCTCCGTCTCCGTTTTCTCTATGTTCACCTGCAGTCCTGTCCTCACTGCCTGTCAGCCTCTTCAGCCAGTTTGTTGGTTTTCGCCTGCAAGTCTTCCAGTTCGTGTGACATTAGACATAAATCATCTACTTGCGAAATCCAGATCTTCTAGAGTCTTCTTGTTCGTCAGTGCAGCGCATTGTCTCCTCACTTCCATGCATAGTCTGACGCATAATCCAGTCCACCACAATTAAGAATATGGTCAGTGATAATAGGCAGCCTCGTCTTGTTCCTGTATGCTGTTCGAACGCTTTGCTGAGTGAGTTTTTCGTTGTGGATCACCTGACTGACATGTGAAATTGTCATATAGCCATCTGTTGAATGAGGTTGATAGAGACTTGGACACTGCACGCCGTGGTGTTGAAGTAGTTTCCAAATTACTTCTCGGTCAACTCTGACGCTGTCGAAGGCCTTTTCGAAGTTGATGAAGGAAGTTGAGGTAGAGTTGTGGTGAGAGCTGTCTACTAGCCAAATTGGTAGACAGTAATTTACGTCAATGTTTACGTTCTCAAGATTTGTCGTGAGAAAATATGAACAAGACTGATTCGAAAACCGACCACAGCAGACTTTGCGTAGGCGGATACAGTTAACATATAGATGATCTGACATTCAAGAAACAGTCACAAAGAGATGAAAGATTAACTTTAAGTGAGAAACAACCAGTTAGAAGACTGTGTTTGTTTGCTTAACTAATCTATAATAATGTACATGAAAATATATAAATATGCGTTGATTTCCTTAATAAACGATCTGTTGCCTGGCCCTTGTCTTCTGTTGTTACAACTGGTGCCGATGTGTAATGAAAAATATTTTCAAATAAACATAAAATTTACATTGACTGACCACTAGAGAGTGACCATTCTCATTTGTCTGGTCCTGAGTGTTGGTGCTAACGGAATTCTCTCAAGTTAGACCATGGACTGATGTCAGTTACAGAACCACTAAAAATCAAAGAGTACTGGACAGCTATTTCGTCCTAGTTTGGGACTCATCTGCAGTGCGCGATATATAACTCCAGACAATGGTATTGATGAGTATTTATCCTTACACCAAATTTAGTGGACCCCGCTGATCGTGAGCATTAGATTCTGTCCCACTGTCTGAATGGTCAATTGACCGGCCTCATAACCTGAATATCCTGCGTCAGGTCCCCGGCGGAAGGCTCATGGGTGCGTACCTCCGAAGAGTTCCAAACCAGGACGAGACGACTGTCTATTACTCCGAGGTTTTCAGTGATTCTCTACTTGAAATCAGTTCGTGAAGTAACTTGAAAACAATCCAATCCCTATAGACTAACACTTGAATCTGCAATATGATCACCGATCTAGATGACTTGCCACTGCAGTGCCTTTGAATTGATGTTAAGTGGTTGAACCTACTGAATAGTTGAAAGGTGAAGTTTCTGACTGTGGTACTTGATGACATGATTCAGCACCTTACAGTAGACATTAGTTTCTTCAAGGCTGAAGATACATCTTGCTAACAAGTAGCAATAAGCATAAAATCTATGTTCTTGGCTTCCTCCCCGACTGCTTTCAACCGCCTTACATCGAAACTAATATCTGTTGTTAATAAACCACATTATTGGTGTTGTTATTATTATAAATAGTATAATTATTATCTATTTCTTATTTTTGTTTTACTTTTAGACAAGACAGAAAATTTTTATATTAGCACAACAATTAGCTAAAAAAGGTGAAAATGCTGATTGGTCAAAATTAGTTGCACAAGTTGATAGATATCGTGAAAAATTATATGAAGTATGGCAATCTGGTACAGATGAATTAACTATTGATATACCTACAAAATGGAATTTTTGGGGAAGTATTTATTATTGTTTTACACTGTTTACAACTATTGGTAAGTTTAACTTTACTTATTGTTGTCACTGGTTTGTTTAATATGTATAGGCTTAATCTTATGTTAAGTAGAGCTATTTGGTGGATATTGACTAGTAGTGGAATCCAGGATGTATATTTCGTCCTGTTTGGGACTTGTCAGCTGGATGTACCTACAATTTCCAGTGAATGATAGCTCAATCCTGTAGACTTTATATAAGTCATACCGCTGATGAATAGCAGTGTGGAGTGATTCACAATAGCTTTCTATTATTGTTCAATAAACGAATGGTTTAACACTGGTTGAGTGGATTACATAGTGAGGTTTCCTGTCGGTTGTCTCCAACTATCTAGAATGTAGCGAAAGTATACCAGGAAGTCAACTAGTCACTTTACAAATTTGACTGATAGAATCTAGTCGGCACCAACACTGCTAAGGACTGGACATATGATATCAATTGCTCCCTAGTGATCAGTCAATGCATTGCTGATCCTTTTTATTTCTGAATGAAACAATACTCTTGTCAGGATGTCGTTAAACTGACTTTATTCTCATTAAGAAAAATAAAATAAAAACACTGTATTTTATAGTAATAAAAGATGCTGCATGTATACTACCTGTATTTAAAGAAACAATGCACAACATTATCAATGGAGTAACAGTTTACGTTAATATTTTCACAGATAATATGAGTCCAAAGCAGTTAAAATAAGACAACTTACGAAGTGAAAAAGATATCTTAAGTCTACGAATCGTGGTTACTACAAGTTGATTTCTTGTCAGACATACTGTGGCTTGTATTACTGATAATATTTATCAGTAGTATATAAAGAGACGTTCGTTGGCATAGGAACTTCAAATAGCAGGGAGATAGATTTAATATCAGAGAAAGCATCGCTGGCATAGCGGTTAGGACGCTCGCCGACCATGCACATGGTCCGGGGTTCGATCCCCGGCCGACGCATTCCTTTACCTCGCTAAGCCAGAAATAATGCTGGTGAAGAGGAAAGGTTGGGTATGAGGCTAGCAATCCCATCCTGTATAATAAACACTGCTACAGAAACCTCAAGCCTCTAGCTTGAAGCCCTATGTTCCACTGGGGAACGTGAAGGAAAGAAAAAACAAAAAAAAAACAGCGTTGCGGAGATATATGGGAGATGCGAAAGGAACACAAAGAAACGCAATATGAAGGAAGGCGAGAAGTAGCACAACACGGAAGATCTGTACAAATGATGATTTTGAGATAAGGTGTGCGTAATTTTGCCATATAGAGATACAAAATTCCAAATAAATATCCCTTTACCGAGTCTTTCGTTTTCTACCGTTACAATATTAATCATTATAGCACTATTGACTAGTACAAAAGAATAGCGATTAAAATTTGTGCATAGGACATTATTTCTTTAAGAGTTTGGTTTCATCCAGACTGAGTTTCTCTTCTTTCTCCTCCTCTTTCCCTTTCCTTCAACTAATGTAAATCGATTAAATTTATCATGATAAACATTTACTGCGGGTAGTGAATTTTATTAAACATAAGAGATTCCTGAAAAGCTGTTGATGGAAAACTAAAGTTTTACTGTATTTTAAACAGTATATAAATTATCTTCTCATTATATTCACCTATTTAACACCAAACATAATTTTCTTTGTTTCTTAGATGCTACGTTGCCGGAAAAAAACTTACTTTAAAATAATTGGAATAAAAAAATTAAGTACAGTAGTAGTTATGTAACTTAATTATGAAAATTAACAGTCTCAATGTGAGGGGAGATAGCGAAAAAGAAAAGTGATTCCTTAGTCTGTAAGTACAGGTTGGGTGTAGAATCCAAGAGCACTGGAAAGCTGTTTTGTGCTAGTCTGCACATGTTGGCAGTGGCATCCTATAACGAATGAACAAGAGTTAGGATTTATAAGCTATTGACTTCCACCCCAATGACTGAATAATAAACGTTCTTGGTTGATAAACTGAATGTTACTCTCAAGTCTGTGTGGAGATCAACAGCACTCCTCAGCATGAAAAATAAGATCCGGATTTTCAACTCCAATGTGAAGTCAGTGCTACTATACGGATCAGAGACTTGACCAGCGCGTCATAAAGAGCATCTCAAACAAACTACAGACCTTCATTAACAGTTGTCTTCGCTCAATACTCAAGATCAGATGGTCAGCCAGAAAAGATCAGCAACAGAGATCTCTGGGAGCGAACCAACCCAGCAGGAACCGATTGTGAAACAAATAGGCAGGAAGAAATGGAGATGGATTGGCCATACTCTGAGGAAACCATCAAGTGACATCACTAGACAAGCCATCGCTCGAGTGGAACCCGAAAGGGAAGCGGCGAGTTGGTCGTCAGTGTGAGGGTGACATGGAGGAGGTCATGTGAAGAGGAGATGAAAGCATGTGGACAGACGTGGAGCCAGGTGAAAACTTTAGCAGAGAACCGAACGCAATGGAGACGTGAGGCCGAGGCCCTATGTTCCTCTAGGAACTAAAGGAAACAATAATAAATAATAAACTGAATGTTCTAGGTTCTGTCTCTAATGTGGCCATGAGCATACACTACTCAATAATCCCAAACTAGGATCTAACAGCTGTTGACTGCCTTTGAGTCTTCAAAGATTCTTGAACTGATATCGGTTCATGAAGAAATCTAGACAGAAATATTCTTTTTGAAAATCTTACGCAAAATATTTCGACAAAAATAGAAATTTACCTTTTGTTACTTTCTAATAAAAAAAGCAACAAGATAATTTTTAGATGTAAGTTATTTTATATGATTGGTTGGAGGATTTCATCATGAACTGACATCATTTAGAGAACCATTGGACAGCTGTTTCTTCCTAGTGTGGGACTCTTCATCAGTACGCAACCACTCCACTGGGTTCGAACCCATGATCTTATGATTACAAGGTGAGCTCGTAGACCACTAAGCCACTGGGACCCGATCCAATGGCCAGCTCATGAATTCTAACTTCTTCCAATTCATGACATAGCGCGGCCACTTCACAATGTCTTCTTCGATGAGTTACTGCCTCACCTTCAACCTGCTGTACCCTACTTGTCACGGCTTCCCACTAGAACCCCAGGTTAACTGCCTGAATAGGACCAGTCGCTAGTGAGCATCAGATTAATTTTCAAGTATTGGTTTTGTAGGGATTTTTGTTCGAATCCCGGTGGGTGCGTACTGGTGAAGAGTCCCAGGAAGAAACAGCTGTCAAATATTCCCAGGTTTTCCAATTGTTCTCTTAATGATATCACCTCATTATGAAATCCTCCAACCAATCAAACAAAAATCCTTACAAAACTAATACTTGAATATTTTATATGACTTTGTTCGTGGTATTTGTATACTTTCTTCTGTGTACTATGTTTGCTTTTGATGTTTAAAGATACTCAGTATGGTTACATTAATCACTCTAAGATTTTGAAACTTATCGCTTCAAAGAAAAGTGCAGGGATTCGAAGTTCGCTTAATAAATAAAGTCAATACACTATTGACTAGAGGGAGAGAAGGAGACAGGTGCCATTTTCACACTAATCAGGGTGAGGATACAAGTAATCTCAAGGTGTTTTCGCGCGTAGTACAGGTAAACGGAACAACAGATATTCCAGTTGTATAAAAAAATCCATAAAACACCTTTAAATTAACCAAATATAATGTTTAAATAGATTACAGTATTGCTTTAAACACACATTACAAAATCACACAAGACAGTGCACAACGCCAACTACCTGAAGAAATTCAAATCATAATTGACCGCCTCTGTTCTAACCTATGAAGAAGGCGGAAATGAAAGGGTGGTAAATTTGTTTGCCGATTACTTATATTCTCCCTCCTAATTGGCTGTTCTGAAGGTGTTTTATCGATTTTTCCCATATAACTGGAATATCTGTTCTGTCGTTCACCCATACTATGCACTAACACACACCATGAGATTATATTAATCCTAACTTTTATAAAATCATAATATCGTACATATTTTCTGATAATCTATGATATTAAACAAATGAAAAGGTACATTTAACAGTTACAGTTTTCCTAACATTATTTACTGAAATACTCCACGGTTTTCTAGTTGATTCTTTTCAGTGTTAAACGAATAAAAAAAAAACTTCAATACATTAGGAAACCTAAATTTTTACTTATTTACTCAGGTTTGAAAAATGTATAAAGGCTGCTGTATTATGCAATAGGACCTGTTTCTAACATCATATTGGTTACCAACAATGAAACCATAGCAAAAAATGAAACAGCAAAATGGTCTTACCAAAGAGCTTTTGTATGGAGACTAACTAGTTCAAAATGAGTGTGTGTTCTCTGAGCTGGATGGTTTAATTGAGAAGCTTCTACTGTCTGTTTAGACAACATCTTCGGCTCAGACTTCAATACGAAGAGAAACGCATAAAGTAGCCAATGGAGTAATGGTTTAATTTAATATTTTCGCAGATAACAGGATTCCAAAGTGGTCAAAATACGTCTGCGTTGAAACCAGTGTCTAGAAAGTCAATGAAAGCTTTGCAGTTAAACCACCTAGCTCAGAGAATGCAATCACATCGAAATCATCCATCTGAACTGTAAATCTTCTTTATTATTTCAGGACTGAAACGTTGTCCAACATCTAGGACATTGGAAAATTAGGAGTTAATAGCGATTAAGGGATCAACCTCTAAATGGGAAGTAGTATTCCCAAGTGATTCTGATCATTTAATTCCACAAATACCAACGGGGAATTACTGGTATAAATGAACAGTATTTCAATGTACCCACTGTATAAGAGGTGACTGTCCCGGCTGAGTAGACTGTCGGATAACAGTTTGTATTTGGATATAGTGGGTACTGAGATTAAGCTCCATTTAAAAAGAAGCATCAGTTACTGGAATGCATGTACGTCCAAATGGTGCTTCTTAAGTAGGAGGGAACCTGAGCTGTGAAGTCCTGTCTTAGTCGTCAACAAACTAGTAACTATAAATATTATGTGTTATCTAAACTCTTCTTCTGTTTAAATCAATAATTGTAATCGTTCATTATTTTTTCCACTTCTCAGTACTTTTCCTAAGTGATTCTTTCTATTGTCTTACAAATAATTAATCCTACGACTCATCTCGAGAGTTTCTGCTGTTGTAGTATTCCACTTTCTCTTCCTTACATTTAAGTAGAGTTTCTGTGCGAGCATCGGTTATTATTATTCCATTGGGTTCCTTGTGGAACATAAGACTTCATCAGCGCATCACCATTTCACTCTGTTTTCTGCTGTATTTTTTAACTGGGTTTATGATTGCTCATTACCTCTTCATACCATCTCCTACGTGTCAACCTCGCACCCATGCCTAACTCACGTTTTTCATTCGGGTCCCACTCAAGTAAGGGCGTCACGCATGATGCCACTCAATGGTCTTCTCAACAACCCATCTCCATTTCTTTCTGCATACTTGTTTAGCAATAAGTTCTTGGTTAGTTCGCTGCCTTCTAAAGTTCCTTACTGCTTATCCTTTCTCGTCAGTCATCTGATCTTCAGTATCGAGTAAAGGTATCTCTTGATGAAGGTCTGCAGTCCATTGGAAATGCTTTCAGTGATGCGCGCACCAAACATCTTATAGAAGCACTCAGTATCTGTTACGTTTGCGTTGAAATCCAAGTTTTAAGTAGATAAAAAAGACTTTTCAGACTAGTTCAAAGTACCCACTTGACCAACATATTATTTTTGTTCAATAAAAATAATTATTCAAGTGTTGGTTTGTAGGGATTTGATTGGTTACAGGATTTCATCATGAGCTGACATTGGTTAGAGAACCATTGGAAAACCTGGGAGTACTGGACAGCTGTTTCTTCCTAGTTTAAGACTCTTCATCAGCATTCACCCACCTCACGGGGTTCGAACCCAGGACCTTTTGGTCACAAGGTGAGCTCGTAGACCCTTAAGCCACTGGGACCCGATCCAATGGCCAATCCATGAATTCCAACTTCTGCCAATTCACGACATAGCGCGACCCCTAGCCAATGTCTTCGGCGAGTATTTGTCCTCACACCCCACCTGCTGTATCCTACTGGTCACGACTTCCCACTGGAACCCCAGGTAACTACCTACCTGAATAGGGCCAGTCGCTAGTGAGCATCTCTTTGATATTCAAGTGTTGGTTTATAGGGATTTGATTGGTTACAGGAGTTCACCATGAGCTGACATTAGTTAGAGAACCATTGGAAAACCTGGGAGTACTGGACAGCTGTTTCGTCCTAATTATATATATTCATCACTTATCACATCTTTATTTATCATTTTATCTTATAGGTTATGGTAATGTGTTTCCTTCTACTATCGGTGGTAAACTGTTAACTATTTTATATGGTATAATTGCTATACCATTGTGTAGTCTTCTTATCGGTCGAATATCAAACGTGATTATTAGACTGACAAAGGCAATTTATTATATGACACTTGATCCTTCTGGAGTACCAGTTGGCTTAAGAGAAACCTATCATCGTATTGATGCAACTTTCGATTTTCGAGTAAGTGATACGAAAGTAGAATAACATAAAATGATTTATTTTTTTGAGAGTTTATTATCATTATTTATTTATTTTTTACATTGAATTCATGAATGAGGTAAGTGTTCCTTTGAAGACATTGTTAGGGTTTGACTGATTCTCACAAATTTAACATCAGTTATGGGAACATTAAAAATCAAGAGCTTTGACCGATTCATGCAACTAAATTGGATGTGTGAACAATTACTGAAAAGAAAACATGTGGTTCAGCTAGGGGGGCTGTTTTCGACGAATTCATTTTCTTTAGCTGTACGGTCGTATTTATACAAATTTTTTTCACGAAAGAGGGTAGCAACAAAAGTGATGAGTTGTCTCAAACATAGCTGTTAATATTATTCAGTACATAAAAGTTGAATAAGTGTGTAAGGACAGAAGACAAGGTTCAGGAAACAGATCGTTTATTGAGGAAATCAAGCGATATTTATATATTTTTATGTACATTATTATTCGCTATTATTAGCAGAGAAATAGAGTCCTCTGATTGATCGTTTCCTCGCTGAAAGTTAATCTGTCATCTCTTTGTGGCTTTTTCCTTAAAGGTCAGACCATCCTTTCCGCCCACGCAAAGTCTGCTGTGATTGTTTGTTGAGTTAGTCTTTTTCAAGTAGTGGTTTTGTAGGGATTTTGTTTGATTGGATGGGGGGATTTTCATCATGAGCTGACATCAGTTAAAAAACCACTGGAAAACCTGGGAGTACTGGACAACTGTTAGTCTTTGTTCTTGTTTTTTCTCATGACCAAGATATGGGACGTAAACATTGACGTAAATTGCTGTCTACCAATTTTGGCTAGCAGACAGCTCTCACCACAAGTGTATTGGAGTTAAGTAATAAGATGAATAATTTATTGAGTTATATATAATAAGGATGCACATAGAAACGAAGGAAAATATGGAAATACATTAGTTATTTGGAGTTAGAAAAACATACAAACAAAAATCAAGCTAGCAGGAATCAGTGAGGTTGTTACCAACGGTGGCTGAAGTGGTATGGAGAGCTCCGGTTTCTCTGACTGGATGACTAAAGCTTCAGCAATACAAAGGATACGAAAGCATATTGCCTTTATCTAGCTGCTTTTCACTTTGTAGATTACTTTGAAGGAGGCGTTTGTTGAGATGGGATGTTGACAAGGTGTCCGTTTATCGCATTCCTTATAGAGCCACTACTACCTTTCTGCAACAATGTGGGACAGTGTTCTTAAACCCTTTTAGACAAAATACACTTTAAACCACCAATTTACCTGGCTCCACCGCAACAGGTTAACCGATTTATGCACATACAATTGTATATAAATGAGACTGTACAACTAAGGGAGATGAATTAGCGGGAAAAAGCCTGTTTGCTGAACTACGTGTTTTGTTTTTATTAATGTCTGGATGGGAATTCTTCGTGAATTGGAAGAAATACTGACTGATTTAACCAAAATAAAAAAGACAACATAAGTCCAGGAGGTCTTCGACATGGGATAGTGGGGGAGTATTGTGAAAAAAATATTTAAATAGGATTAGACATCTGTGGTTCTCTAACTGACGATAATTTTCACAAATACTACTACAAATCTAGTGTTAAATTCAGAAAAAAGGAATCTGAATACTTCATCCTAATTTTACTGTCAAAATATAACCAGTGCTTTATGCTATAGACTAGCTGGATACCCCTTCACATCGACCAGTGGTGCTCCTTAGCCAGATCGAAAACGTTTAAACACCGGGTGGCTGTTTCACTCGTTTGAGGGCAAGTTCACTAGCGGTGTACCGGGCTTGACTCATTCCAGAGAGTGGGATTAGTTCAAGCTACGTGAGCTCTGTCCATTGTTTATATCCTTTCTATCTAGCTTAGAAGCACTACTGGTTGATGTGAGGGGTATCTGACTATTCATATTAGTCAATCAGTAATATATGTTATCATATATTTACGTTAGCTTTCTTGATTTCCATTTATGATATCCAGCATATCTTATGTTGCTATCCTAATTATATATGTATATATATATATATATATATATATATATATATATATATATAGCATCACTACCCTAATATATGAAAAGCCAGTTTCAGGTAACAGACACAATCAGTTATCTGGAAGATAATGGGATGCAGTCAAGTTGATTGATATCATACTATCTTCATAAGTAAACTTTACTAATTGAAAGTTATACAATTTAAGTATTCACGTTAACAAATACTGGTGGTAATAATTGTATGTTATAATGAAGAAATTTCGATATAACTGGTCGCACTAAAATCACCAATTGGTAGAAGTTGGAATTCATGGACTCCTGAATTGGGTCCCAGTGTAACGACAGAATACAAAGGTCAGGAAACAGATCATTTATTGAGAAAATCAAGAGATATTTATAGATTTTTATGTACATGATTGCTAGCAGAGAATCAACGTCTTCTGATTGGTTGTTTACTTGCTGAAGGTTATTCTGTTATTGCTTTGTGGCCGTTTTCCAGAAAATAAAGCCATATATCTGCGAATCACATTTCCACACGTTAACTCCTCTGTGATTGGCTGGTGATTTTTTCAAGGTTAAGCTTTGCTACTGTTTTTCTCATGACCCTGATTCGGGACGTGAGGACTGACGTAAATTGTTGTCTACAATTTTGGCTTCCAACCAGCTCTCACCACACCAGTAGCTAAGTAGCTAAATGATCTACGAGCTTGATTTGTAACCATAAGGTCCTGGATTCGAACGCTGGTGGATGCTTGCTGGTGAGTAGTCTCAAACTAATACGAGACAGCTGTCCTGTACTGTCTGATTTTCCAATGGTTCTCCAGTTGATGTCATCTCATCATCAAACTTGAAACAACTGAGTGTATAGATATCAAAGTAAATGAATAAAATGTTAATAATTTGTAATATCCTAGATTATGAAGTTCTGATGCATATATGTAAGTAATGAGGCTATAAACGGGAGCTGAGGTGATTGAGATTAGTAATACAAATAGAAACTAATGGTGGTAAACTGTTCACTGGTTTCTCATAATTAAAATACAACTATAAGTTAACAAAGATAGGAAACTGTTGATTACAAGGCAGTGTTAAACAGTGACAATCTCAAGGCTTCGCGGCCATAAGACTGAAAAGGAAGCGCATTCGATGGTCTTTTCTTATGGAAAGACAGCTTCAAAGGAAAAAAAGATTACTCATTCAGTTCTGTATGGATTATTTCATAGTTTAGTGTAGTATTTTTGTACTAATGGTTTTAATATTACACATTATTTCTGATTTTCTTGTCTATTTCAGGTGCTTCCATCCATTTTGGCATTTATTGTCTACTTGTCTATTGGAGCAGGAATTTATGCTTATATTGCTGGACAAAAAGAGTTAGAATGGAGTGCTTTAGATTTAATATACTTTGCATTTATATCAATAACAACTGTTGGTTTTGGCGATTTAGTCCCAGAAACAGATGTATTTCTAGCAATTTTCTCAATTGTATACATAGTCATCGGTTTGGCAATGACTGGTATTGTGTTCGGCCGGTTAACCGAAGCATTTGAACAAAAGTTCTGTGGTCAAACTGTTGATTTGGCTGGAGAAAATCTTACGAAAACTGACCAACATGTTATTGCTTCCTCGCAACGTTTACAAGCCAAAAGAACAGCAACACATTTAAAACAAACATAAACTTTTGATAGTTGAATAATAAAAGAAGAAACAGAACCCGAAAAAACAGTCTTACTACACATTACAACGAAATAAGTAGATGAATTTTACTATCAGATTAAAACAAAACTATATCACAAATGAGACGCTTTCTCTCTTTCTTTTGATTTTTCTAGATGTACACACTATGCTACTACTTCTGTTTAGCATGCATATACATCCAAAGATGAATTTATGTCTCTTTCTGATGTGAAGCGAGGTTAAGTGAGGAGATGAACTTAGAATCATAAGGGTTGGAGAACATCTGTTTATATTCTAACTGATAATTTACATGAATTCCGTTTTGGCATTAGTTTTACGTTTTCTTAAATTTTCTGTAAATGTTATTCGTTATATTAATTACATACATCAGGGAAAATATATATTCTATCTTCTATAGTCAAACACTAGATAACCTGGAAGGACTTTGTATTTCTTTATATTCTAATCACGGTTTGAGGCCCCCTTTGTAAGAGCAAAACTGGAAGAAAATTGAAATTAAAACAGAGGCCTTGTAGACCGATAGTGTCTGACATTCTTCTAAGTTATCCAGATACAAAAAAGAACATAAAAATGAAGGCTACGGGTAATAATCCGTCAAGCGACTTTGGTGAGCTGGTACCATGGATGTCATTTAGACTAATGACATTATTAGCCATGAGTATCATCCATAAATTATGTCTGCAATTTTATCCAGGTGTCGTTTATCTACTTGATGTTGATAAAGTATTAATTGAGTGGGTAAATCAATGAATTTTTGGTAGGAATAATAACAACTTGTGAACACACAGAAGCAAATGATCAATACATGTAAAGGGTACTGTCTCTGGTGCAACTTCAAATGTTTTAAGATTTTGTTTTAACATGTACCCATACGGACTGGCTCCAATGCCATTTTGCGCTTTCCCGTTGTGCTGTTAACATGCACATTCTTTGAGTTTGTAATACAACCATATTCATTAAATAAGTTTGAAATCTTTTTCCCTGAACGATCTTGGCTTTTTACTTTACTCAAATATACTACTTACCAGAGCACATTTCCAATTAACTAAGCCTTGTTAATTTGCGTTTTGTCTTCAATAATTAAAGGATAGGTAGATTATTGATCAATTGGGTAACTAGGTAAATTGCATTTCGTAAGGGCTGGTGAAGTGTAGCTTATTAACGCCGCTATCAACACCTTACATGTCTTTCACAAAGATGCTTGTTCGAGGACGTTTATCAAATATTTTGTTTATTATATGGGTATACTTTTCCACAGGTCGAAATTACCTGGTATACGCTTCTTAATCGCAGCTACTTATGACAGCCATAGCAGCGGAAAATTGTCTTGTTCTATAATCGTCTAGGCCTCACTACTTGTCCAGCATATAATCGGAACAGTTCTAACTTAGACAAAATATACAGATTAAGGACCAGTCAAATGGATTCAGGAAATGCTCGATAATGTCACCTAGAAGGCCTTTTGGGACGAACAATCCACAGAACCTCTAGGACGTATACTCATATTAAATAAAGGCTAATATTGTTCGGAAGCGTTGTTCATCGAGATCCATTGACGGCTACAGTGATTAACATTCAATAGGATGTGTAGCGGTAAATAATTCCCCAAAATTATTAACCACAGCAATCATCACTCAACATTGGATGCTGACCATCACTGTTTAAGTCGACTTGTTTAGCTGAAGGCTTACGGTCAAGCATTCCCGCCATTTGGTGCTCCGTCGTGTCACATGCGTGCACGATTACTAGCTAGCTAAGCATTCATTCCTACCCGCGATTTGGTCCCAAAATATATATCGTATTTGGACGACAAAATCTGGTCTTTTGCTTTACCATTTGGTACTCGAAGAACGAACACTATAGTGGTTGTTGGTATAAGATCTTGCGTTAGTATAATCCGTACAACTCGCGAACGTCGATACCCGCAGTCCCTAAACTGGTGAGCCCGACCACGAACTACATCTTCAATTCACACGCAGATAAACCCGGTGAGTTCGTTCCTTTTTGTGTTTATTCTTGTACTATATTGTTATCGGCATACTTTTCGTCATGAATGATCCTAGCCCCAAGGTTATTCAGATTCGCTCAACCGCCAAAACAATTCAGCTAGTACCATTTTGGCCAGATAATGCTGAAACGTGGTTTCAGATTGCTGAGTCCGATTTTTGTGAACATGGCATAACTGATCAACGTTCACAGTTCCTTGCAGTTATTCACGCCCTACCGCGGGAATTCAGCAAGTGCGTAACTCTGCAGATGTCGGTAAGTAACTCGTACGAGTTGCTAAAAGCATCCATCCTCAAGAGAAACGTTCTCGCAGATCGGCAACGTCTGGATGAGTTATTTCGTAACATCGAGTTAGGAGATCAGTCAGCCGTGAGCATGCTGGCAAGAATGAAAGAGATCATTGGCCAAAGTCAGTTCGATGAAGGACTATTTTTATCCAAACTGCCACAGTCAGTTCAGACTGTACTTGTGACACTTCAAAGTGTTCTCATAGATGACTTAGCTGTCTCTGCAGATAGAATTCTAGAGATAACGAAACGGCCAGTTACCGAAGTATACTCTGTTACCGAACAGACTTCGAAGAAGGATTCTGCAATGATAGAATTAATCAACTCCGTCCAGCAGATGCTTAGGTCAAACAAGCCTAGTAATTCCTCAAACCGTCGTTCTAGATCCCCTCAACGGCAAAACGCACGTGGACGATCTAAGTCCAACACACGTTCTGTCAAAAATCCTGACTGGTGTTGGTATCACAACACCTATGGCAAGGAAGCGAAATGTTGTCGAAAACCTTGTGATTTCGGCAAAGTCTCCAAGTCTGTGGGAAACTATCCCGCCGGCACGCGTTAGCGGCAACTGTCGCCGGTGGCAATAGCCGCTTACTTTACATCCATGATGCAATTAGCCAGACTAGATATCTAGTCGACACAGGCGCCGAAGTCAGCGTCCTTCCTGCTACAGCAGCAGATCGACAGAAGGATCCTAACTTCAACCTACAGGCTGCAAATGGAAAACCAATTGCAACCTATGGTCGGAAATACGTCTATCTGAACGTAGGTTTACGCAAACCTATTCGGTGGATTTTTCTGATCGCTGACGTCACAATGCCCATCATTGGCACGGACCTACTTAATCATCATGATTTGCTCGTAGACGTCCGCCGTAAACGATTAATTGACAACACTACTAGTTTGTCTATCAAAGGCATAACTTACAGTGGCCCTAGTTTGTCAATCGTTAAGATGAAAGCAATCCTCGATCCAACTTTTCAACCGTTTGTTGACAAATATCCGGAACTGAATTGCCCATCTAACGATCTCCCGTGTATAACCAGCAATGTTATGCACCACATCATAACCTCAGGACAGCCCGTGACATCTAAAGCACGACGACTGGCCCCTGATAAACTGAGAATTGCCAGAAACGAATTCGACCATATGCTCACCCTTGGCATCATTCGGCCATCGAATAGTCCATGGGCATCCCCGTTGCATATGGTACCGAAAAAGGATAGTAACGATTGGCGACCCACTGGTGATTACCGGCGAGTGAACGCCAAAACAACTCCTGATTGCTACCCTTTGCCTCACATACACGACTTGACGGCAACGTTATCTGGAGCATCTATATTCTCCAAAATCGACTTGGTTAAAGCATATAACCAAATCCCGATGGCAACGGAAGATATTCCGAAAACGGCTATCATCACGCCTTTCGGACTTTTTGAATTCCTACGTATGCCATTCGGCCTCCGGAATGCGGCACAAACATTCCAACGCTTCATCAACGAAGTATTTCGCGGTCTCGACTTTGTATACGCATACTTAGACGACTGCCTCATTGCCAGTCCAGATAAGGAAACTCACCTTAGACACTTGGACTTGGCATTTGAAAGGTTACGCCAACATGGTGTTACCATCAATATACAGAAGTGTCAAATAGGCGTTGACTCACTCGATTTTCTGGGTCACACTATTGACTGTCAGGGCATTCGCCCACTGACTACTTCGGTCGATCACTCTAAAAAAACGCGTTCTGGACGTCACGTTAGATTCTCAGAATACCTTCACACCTATTTCACATAACTGAGTGACACATCAATTGTTTTTTATGTTGCGTCATTTAACACAAGTAAATGATATTTTTCCTATAACCGTACATAAAATTATATAAGATGTATATTTTTTTTCCGATATTTTGAACTTTACATTATTTTACTGTATAGTAGATGCATGTCATTTTTTTTGGTAAAAAACGCTTATTTGGTACATTTTTCTTGACAAGGTTCTCAGCATTCTTGTTTTCTTTTCCAGGTGCAACGGGCACTGGACAGGAAACAAACGAAGCACGGGATCCAACGAACAACATTGAGGAAGCTATGTACAGACACCCTATTAGCATAGGCAGACAGACCAGCAGGCTCTCGATCAAGCCGCTCGGAAGATTTTTTTCACCCATCAGGGTACCATCGAAATTTTTTTACTTCCGGCTGGTCATGTCTTAGGGTGCTCACAAATCCACTAGGGGGGAGTGAGCTGTAGCGGTAAATAATTCCCCAAAATTATTAACCACAGCAATCATCACTCAACATTGGATGCTGACCATCACTGTTTAAGTCGACTTGTTTAGCTGAAGGCTTACGGTCAAGCATTCCCGCCATTTGGTGCTCCGTCGTGTCACATGCGTGCACGATTACTAGCTAGCTAAGCATTCATTCCTACCCGCGATTTGGTCCCAAAATATATATCGTATTTGGACGACAAAATCTGGTCTTTTGCTTTACCATTTGGTACTCGAAGAACGAACACTATAGTGGTTGTTGGTATAAGATCTTGCGTTAGTATAATCCGTACAACAGGATGTTTCCATAATTTGCTATGTCACTCTGCTGAATAAGTCGGCTTATCCAGTGGAACTCATGGAGACTTCATACGCGCTTTTTGAATTCGTCTAAGGAAACCATCTGCGGCCATAAGCGGTACACAAAAGGTCTTTTTTCGCCTCAATCCTTATTATCTGTTTTTGGATGGTTCCCATTCTTACTGTTTCACTCTGCTAACGTGTGATAATGCGGTGTGAACTGGCTGCAAGCTAAAATTTTAGACAGCAATTTATGTCAGTGTTACGTCCCAAATCGGGGTCATGAGAAAAACAGTAATAAGGCTTAACTCTGAGGAGCTCACCAACCAGTCACAGCAGACTTAACGTGTGAAAATGCGATTCGCAGATATACGACTTAACTTTCTGAGAAACGGTCACAGAATAACCTTCGGCAAGACAACAACCAATCAGAAGACGTTGCTTCTCTGCTAAAATAACGAATAATAATGTACATAAAAATCTATAATTCTCTTGATTTTCTCAATAAACGATCAGTTTCCTGGCCTCTGTCTTCTGTCATTACAGTAGTAGACTGCTGATAATCGATTTTTATTTTGATATTACAATTTTGTTTGAGAGGATGTTTAGAAACTAACTTTTTTATCAAAACGATTACTGAAATTACTGACCGACGACTTGTAATATTGTAGAAGACCTATGGTGTTTACGAACCTTTATTTCCAAAATCACAACAGAGGGCAAGTGTAGTGGGGAATACTTTGTCAAACAAACGGAAGGGCACCCACCATTTAATAGATAAGGGCGCCTTATAATAAAGAGGATATATTTCCTACTTGGTTGCTCTTTTCATCCTTATGAGTTCCTTAATCACCCACAACATCTAAGTGATCATATAATGCCGTGTTGTAGAGACCCTGAAAATTCAAGTTTGTGCCGTAGAGCGGCTTCTTGCTCTTAAGGTGTCTATGGCAAACATGATTTCGAT